CTCCCACGCTCCTGTGGACTTCTCTGTGTGTTGGTCTTGGCACAATTAGCTGTCAATAAAAAGCTAATTTCTTTCAAACAGGAAATCTTGATGCAACCAAGGTCCTGCAAAGTCTAAAAGAGCAAAGTTGAGGAAGAGATTAAGTCAAATGAGGAGAAAAGATTTTTTTTTAAGCTGAAATATAAAATGAATACCATGCTATTTGTACCACTCAACCAATCATCTCTCCATTGATTTAAAAGAGATAAAATAAATCGCTTTTTTCTCTGTTTTAACCATGTTACAACACTGTTCCCACAAACAAACAAAAGACCTGGACTTGTTAAACCCATCCATGCTAATATCATGAACTTCTGGCATAAAAATGTATCTCTGCCCTTTCTGTCTAAAAGCTCCTGTCTCAGTCTTCTATTAGTATGTCCTTATACTAGTATGACATCACACTCACAGCTGTTTTCTTCCTTGTAAAACACAAATATTACTCATATAGGCAATTCAATCTGAAGAAAAGACAGACAATTAATACATTAAAATTATTTATATATTTGGCGCATTGACCCTGGCAGTGACACTTGCAGAGGGGAGATCATTGCTGCTGAAGTTGATCTCAGATTCCCTGGGGTCAAGCACTGGTGGTGACTAGAAGTATGGTGTGAATGGGGCGCAGGCGGAGCAGGAGCCAGAGCAGGAGCCAGAGCATGAGCCAAAGCAGGAGCTCGAGGAGGTGCTGGGGAGGTGGTGGTTAGTAGGAAGTACCTGCTTTTAAACTGGCCGCTTTTCTGCCAGTAGGTTGGCAAGGGAGCTGGCCGAGCTGTGTGATTGGCTGAGGCTCGAGGCTGGAAGAGCTGTGTGATTGGCTGAGGCTCGAGGCTGGAAGAGCTGTGTGATTGGCTGGGACTTGAGAGGCTAGCCCTGGATGGGGTGAGAACTGCGGCATGAGGTCTTCCCAGACTGAATTTGCGCTTAAGCTTCATGAAAGAGCCCCGTGAGTCACTGTTTGATGCATTGGGCTGAGAAATGGTGCTCTTCTTTTCTGTCTGAAAATTCAGATTTAAAAGAGACCAAATAATACGTACATAAAAACTCAATACATTACATTTTATTTTTGTATAACCCCATAACTACGACAGTAGTTATCTTGGAGGAACACAATAAATGCATTGATAAAAAAAACACATAGTCATTAGTCCATAAAAGGCAGATGACCAATGTCCATAAATATCGTTTGATGTCGAGTGTCCTGGATCATCACCACTGTACCCCAGTGGACACCAGGCAGAGCAGATAATGGACACCAGAGCGCCTGAAAAGGGCAAAGTGATGATGAGACTGAATATGCAAGTGTGAGGGACATGTACATGGCATCAGTCAGAACTACAGGTCATGAAGGTGGCCTTGGCTATAGCACACCAGTTTATTTCTCATTCCTAAAACCAACTGTAATTATAGCTTATTATGTTTGCGTCTTAATAACCTCTCACTTTGTAATGCGCCTTTGAGCGTCCAAAACAGCACTAGATTAGTATGATCATCATCATCATCAGCAATATAATTATTATCATTAGACAGTGTTGGCTTCATTCAGAAAATTACTCTCATTTATAATCACGCCCAGGACATACAAACGGAAGGGTTCAATAATTAATGTCCTGCTTCAAAATCCACTTTTATCAAATCACTTATTTAATCCAAGTAGCCCTGACTCTCTGATGTGATAAACACAAGCTGAAATAGTTCATAATTTCATGCCAATATTTTGACCATATTTAATGCATTGTTCCACCTGATCATCGGAACTCCTGCTTTGATGAACTATATAGGAAACGTTGGTGAAAAGTATTTTTGTTAGGGCGTGTGCAAACCTTATGACTTCTACTATTCTTCCACCACTTGTCACCTAACTCTTTTGTACTCAAAACTATAATTATTATTATTCAAAGCACGATTTGGACTCAGAGAATGTCATACTGGTGCAGTGTTGGTGGTACAGTGGAGCAGGGCAACATTAGGACCAGTCTCTTTGTGGTTGTTTTTGTTTGTTCACAGGTCTGAAACGCCACCACCTGGTCATAATACTGCAACCATAATGATTTATTTATTTATAGTTTATTTTGTTGGGACAGTACATGTTAATGAACTCATCACTAATTTCCATCCGTTGTCCCACATTCCCACACTCACAAACGCACACTCATTCACCCTCAACTATTGTACATGTTTTTTAGTGGTAGGGGAAACCCGAGTACCCGGAGGAAACATACGCAGACGCGGGGAGAACATGCAAACTCCGCTCAAAAAGGCCCTGTTCCGACCGGGATTCGAACCCAAAACCTTCTTGCTGAGGCGAGAGTGGATACTCAGCCAGCATGCCGCACCCATAAAGAGCACCTGAAGACAAATACACTATATAAACTAATTTAAAGCTGGGAACTTTTTCTTCATAATGAATCTAATTTGTTTGTTCAAACACAAAGAGTCTTGTAAAAGTGAACAAATCAGACTACATCCCGTCTTCATCTTAGTAGAAAACAGTTATCTGTGAGTAGCCTCCTTGTTATTATGAAGTTTGTAGTGCAGAGGTCACATTTGAAGACAGCAGCCCAGAATCTCTCTGTTCTGACACAACCCTATGTGTGAATCAGAATCAGAATTATTTTGATTGCCAACAGGAAGTCACAAACTAGGAATTATATCTGGCTCAAGGTGAAAACAAGTTATAGAGTAAAAAGATAGATATAGGGCGTGCATTAAAAAAATCTTCGTAATACTATAAGGTTTCGGTCATAAAACAGGAAGAGAAGTGTTCAGGAGTTGACTGCAGAGGGGAAGAAACTGGGAGGTTCTGTTCCAAATGGATGTAGCCTCCTGCCTGAGGGGATTGGTTTGAATAGTCCATGCGCAGGGTGAGAGTGATCCGGGAGGGAAGATTATTATAAGAGCAAATATAAATAAATAAATAATCAACTAACTAACTCAAATAACCACAGGACTTGCCTTTTCCGTCAGCAGAAATAAAAACAGTCCAGACGAGAAAGAGAGTCTAGAGAGAGAGACCAGAGAGAAAAGAGAGAGAACGGAGAGAGAGACCAGAGGGAAACACCAGAGAGATCAGAGAGATAGGACAAAGAGACTTGAGACCAGAGACAGACCAGAGGGAGAGAGACCAGTGAGAATACATTCCATTTATAATCTTATTCTTATTAAAGATTTGTTTTTACATTTGTGTGACTGCATTGGGAACCCCTGCAGAAATGGGAAGAACATGAAAACTACACCTCCAAACAGGGCCTTTTTGTGTGGAATCGAACCCTGACTTTTTTGCTGTGAAGCAGAAGCGCCAACTATCACAATTCACATGAAGTCAAGCTGGTTTTGTCCTAATAATAGAAGTACCTGTTTGTTATTTTGACAGAGGAGGCGTGTAACAGGGAGTGACAGTCGTGAATGAGCACATCCGGCTCCATTACATAATCTAAACAAAAAATACCAAAAACATGACATGATAATCAGGTTTCAAGGGGAAGAGCTCCAGCAATGATACTTCAATCTGGAGAGGCTACAAGAGACAAGAGTTAGACAGGCCCCGGCTGTGGACATGCTCTGTGAGGATCTATGCTTGAGTGCAAATTATGATCCCCCGTGGCCTAGACACTGGTAGTGGCAACAGGGCAAGGTGGATGTGAGCGTGTGAAGAAATCCTGAGGCGGAGGTGGGAAAGAGGTGGTTGCAGCTTTAAAGGCTGTTTGGGGGATGTGTTTCTTACATGGTTGCCAAGGAAAGCTGGATTTTCCCCTGAGAATGAGAGCATCTGATTGGTTAATCCTTAGAGCTAATATCTGAAATTACAAAGACAATATTTAAACGACAATAAATCAAAACAAAATTAGGGGATTTTATTCTTTCAGTTTGGCAGGTCTTTTGGCTAAGAAGAACTTTGTTATTACCACCTCAACAACAGTTATAGTTCTTATGAAGTACAGTCTTGGGTAAGCCATTTTGAAAAAGTAAAAATTACATTTGATTTATTACATTTCTTTGAGTTTGTTATTTGTGATTTAATATAAATGAATAATATATTTGCTATAAATGCAACGTGCCATGTTAAAGTTGTATAATGATTTACAACTTACTGTAATCTAATCAAAAGTATGATCAAAGTTACATTACATTTATATTACATAATTACAATCCTACAAGCCTTAACTATTGCTTGACTTACTGGCTTCCAGCAGAGGCTCAGTAGATGTAACTCCACAGGCCCACAACACAGGCTTCTGTTCCACTGCGGGCTGTACAGGTCCTGGGTCCCCAACAGATCTCCAACTTTTTAAGGTGTTTCACATAAAGTATATTTCCTCACCTATAGGCCTCTGATGTGAACAGGGGCTCCGTGTGCTACTGGTTTCAGATATGTGACCTCCACCTCATTTTAACTGGAACAGGACGCATGGTCACCACCAGGGGGCAGTGAAAGACTCCTGCTTGAGCACAGTGGTCTTGTCTGCCCAATAGACTGCTCGTCTAAACTATATTAAATACAGTATAAACTGCGCTGACCCTCCTGTTGGACAGGATCAGTTCTCACAGAAAGCATTTTGAAAAAACACTGGCGTAAGAATATCTAGGTTCTTTGACGTATCTTGCAAAATGCTTTCTTAAGGATGGTCTGCTTTGATTAGATGAAATATGAGTCTAATTGAGAAATGAAGCTCAAGCGGATGTTCAGACTGAAAGACCGAGTGCCTGCCAATCTCACAGCACTGCCAGCCTCGAGCCTCAGCCAATCAAACAGCTCTGCCAGCCTTGAGCCTCAGCCAATCACACAGCCCGGCCAGCCCCCTGCCAACCCTCTGGCACCAAGCGGGCAGTTTAAAAGGCAGCCACTTCCTGACAAACAGCGCTTCCTGAAAGCTCTAAACAAAGCTCTAAACAGCTCGTGTCATACGGTTGTTCAGTATCAGCTTTACGATTTACGTCCTGCTCCTCCGTCCGATCTTGCCATGTCGGACTCCGATGCCTCTCCGGGGCCCTCTCATCCTCTCCGCCCCTCGCCTGCTCGTAAAAGCGCCCGCCTGGCGTCCAGGGACGACGGGGCCATCCGAGCCTACCTTTCTGCTCAGGGAGTGACGCCTGGTCCCGACGTGACTTCGCTCCAACTCCGATCCATGTTCGACCAGCTCTCCGCCAGCCCGCCCTCTTCTTCGCCAGCTCCCGTGCTCCAGTCGGGCAAACGCCAGGGCAAGTCCAAATACACAAGGGCGAAACGGGCACGTCTCCAGACCCTCACGCCTGATTCTCCGACGCGCACTCCCGTGCGCGTCTCCGCACGCTCGCCCGTGCGCTTTCCCACGCCGTCTCCGGCGTCTCCCGGCTCCCCTGGCGTCCCCCCCCGGACCTTAGGCCGCGCCAAGGGCTCGTGGCCGTCTGCCCATGCTCCTGCTCGAGGGACCCGTTCCGCGGCGGCGCCCCCGGTCCCCGCGATCCACGAGACGTCTACGGTTTTGCCCCAAGACTCTCGCGCCCTGCAGCATGATGCAATCCTCGCAGCCCTCTCTACTGTCCAGCATTCAATTGCATCTATCTCCAAACGCCTCGTCGCAGTTGAGTCGCGGCCCCCGGACCCGGCTTTCCCGCACCCCGCCTCCCCGCTGGTTCCTGCGGGGGAACCTGCCTTCCTCGAGCATACCCTGGCCTCGGCTCTGGCGGCCCCGCTCTCCGTTTTTGCAGGGAGGCGCATCCGCGCTCTGTATGCCCCAGGCTGATAAGGAAAAAGGTCCCCGGCAAGAAGTCTTCCTTCAGGAATTAACCAGCTCGCATCCGTCTACGCCTGTCCTTGTGCCCCAGCTCGCTCGTGCCCTGCTGTTCCACCCCGATAGAGTTTTCGTTGATTTTCTCTAGTGCTGTCCAACGATTAAAATATTTAATCGCGATTAATCGCATGAATTTCATAGTTAACTCGCGATTAATCGCAAATTAGTCACCCATTTGCGTGCTGTGTGCAATTGCTTTTTTTATTGAAAACAATGTGTAGTGTTATATTACACACTAACATTTGATGCAAAATCATCAATAAATGGATGACAAAATAAATAATTGGTAACAAAAAGCCCCTTCAATGTGTGTGTGGAGTGTGTGTGTTTATGGGTGTGGGTGTGTGTGTGTATGTGTGGGTATAGACCATAGACTGTATAGAAACATCATGGTGTCATTATGATGATGATAAACAATTTTTTTGTAAATTTGTTCATGTAAATACTCTATGCTGTTTCTCTGTTTACTTTCGGTATATCTATGACTGTATACTGTTTGCTTGTATTGCCTTTTTTATTAACCCCTCCCCCCCATCTCCCACTTCATGTCCCCCCCCTCCTATGTGCCCTTCTGGGTTTCTTCTTTGGCCCCCTGTATCTCCAACTACATATTGTTTGTAATCTCTGTCTACAATGTATCTTAACTAGTCCTTTTCTTTGTGTCTATTTTTTTCTGTATATGTGTTTGTCTGCAATAAAAAGTAAAAAAAAAAAAAAAAAAAAAAAAATAAATAAATTTTTATAATTATAAAAAAAATTAATGGCGATAAAAAAAACGACGCCGTTAATATTGATTTGCGTTAACGCGTTAATAACGCGATATTTTGGACAGCACTACGGATTTGTCCAATCTCTGCTCATAAACTACAGACAGTTAATGCGCTGCAGTGCGTGTGTCTATACTTTATGTCAAATGTATAACGGTTGTAAACTTTGTCGCTAAATCACCCTGTGTTTTCATCACGACGCTGGGCACATGTGAAAGCACCGCTCACAGCGCCCGCACCACAAACACAGCGTTCCGGGGTGCGTTCCACAGACGGTGAAAAACCGTAGGAATTTTTAGATTTCGGGCGGAAAAAGTGCGAGAATACGGAGGGAGGAACTTTCTCTCGTTGCGTTTTTAAAACGAGAACGGATTCCACGCTTCATAGAATGATTGTCTGCCGTTCATGACACATAAAATGAACTAATTCACGTTCATGTCTTTTTTTAAAATGTGTTGCGTTCAGTTCAATGTTCAACGAAAAAATGAGCGTGTTCAATGAACGCGTTCTTTTGAACTCAGTCTCTCGCCAACACTTCTCCTATGTGCCCTTCTGGGTTTCTTCTTTGGCCCCCTGTATTCTCCACACTACATATTGTTTGTAATCTCTGTCTACAATGTATCTGAAATAGTCCATTTCTTTGTTTCTATTTTTTTTCTGTATATGTCTGAATAAAAAGTAAAACAAATAAATAAAAATTTATCGCGCGGATAAAAAAAATGACGCCGTTAATATTGATTTGCGTTACGCGTTAATAACCGCAATATTTTGGACAGCACTAAATACCACCATCTGTGCGGTGAAGTAAAATAATTTACATGATTTTGTTATTATTGAAATTAAAAATAGATATGTGAAAAGCAGACCATGCTCAAGTATCCATTGTGATTAAAATAAGTTTTATCCAAATCCATGCTTTATTTCTTATTTTTACACGAGGGGAGTAAAATGGTTTACAATGTATGAAAAGATATTCCAGAGCAGGAGAGCAGTGCTTGGAGATCACTGTCACATCGTTACACCAGTTTGTATTGACGTAGAAACACAGCCCTCCGCCTCTGCTCTTCCCTGAGAGCGCACAATGGCGATCCGTGTGGAACAGCCCAAAACCCTGCAGCTCCAGAGCGCAGTCCGGGATCAGCTCATTTAGCCAGGTCTCAGTGAAGCAGAGGACACAGGATGAAGTCCTTGTTTCTTCTCATGAGCAGGCTGAGTTCGTCCGTCTTATTGCCCAGTGAGCGTACGTTGGAGAGAAAAATGCCGGGAGAGCCGTGCTCCTCTCCTCCTCAGACGCACAAGCAGGCCTCCACGCTTTCCACTTTTACGGGCCCACACTTTTTTGGCTAGAACATGGACTAAATCAGCCGCAGATGCCAAGAAAACAGTCAATAGGTCCATGGGAACGGTGGGTCGGATGTTCATGAGTTCCTCACGGGTGTAGGAACAGCCAGATGCGCAGTTAAAAAGTAAAATCAAAAGAAAAAGAGAGCAGCAAAGAGCCGTGTCGACCGTACGAGGCGCCATCTTTTGGGTTAAAATGCAATGTAATGCACGTTATGTACACCAAACTTAGGCTAAAAATGCAACATGAGCTGGACTTTCTGAGCGCTGGAAATCCTGCAGATGTTACAGAGGTCTTCTTATGGTGAAGCAGTCTATGTCTTGTATTTCCTATTGGATAAGACCACCGTCCTGTTAAAGAAGTCAGAGAAAGAAACCCAGTACAATATATTATAAGGAGATTCTGTCCACACTTGGTCCATGAATTAAAGACTTCCTTCAACTTCTATGTTTCCCGTCTGTTATTCCTTGCCTCACTTATTCTCATATGCTACTTCTGTACATCATATATCATACAGGCAAGCCACTGAGGAGCATTTCAGGTTAATTCAGGACCATGACTTAATTTGTGGAGAGGCAATCCATTTGTAAAAATGAAGATTTTTTTCTGTTTATTTTTCCGTTCTCAAGTATTATAGATAACTTATCTGTAAAGTTACACAAAGTTGAATACAAGTAAATACTGTTCATTTCATTCATTCATTTGTTTTTTTTCAAGCTTATAAACAGGAATTAATTATTGTAATTATTTAGATATCATACATTATACAAAAATATAATTATCTACAGTACATATGAACACACATTCTAACATGCTTTTTAAGGATTACTTTGTTCACTTCACACTTGTCGAAGCCCAAAAATGCTGTGGGAAGAAGAAAGTTGAAAACAGTTTCCAACCAAAGGCATTCCAATCAATCTAATCGTTTTTCATAATTTGTTAAACATTTTAAAATGTGTTTGTCAACAGAGGTTTAAAAAAACCCAAAACGATTTAAGTCAAGAATGTATATACATTATACATTTGTACTTTGGGAAAACATTTATGTTGCACTCTACAATTGTTGCGGACATTTCTACTCTCAAGACACACAGTGATGGAAGCAAGGTCACAGGAGGCATGCAAGAGCTATTGTATATGTTTTTTAGTGAAACCGTAGCACCCGGAGGAAACCTTCACAGACAGGACCTTCTTGCTGTGAGCACAAGCGCTAACCACTGCTCCATATCATTTGTCTGCGGCCTCTTTAGATATCAGCATCTTTGTATTGTATTTGTATTTTTTAGTGGTATATTTTTGACCATAAAACACAATAGTATGATGTACATTTAGTGTGTTTTTCAACAACATAAAAAACACAATAACAGAACAGTTAAACCAATGACAAGGGGGCTTAAGGATTTTGATTAATTTTGACCAATCAGGAAGCTGTGGGGGTGAGCATGGGCGGATTCTTACCAGTGCTTGACTTCAAAAAGCAGTCAATGCCTCTAGGACAGGGGTCACAAACATTCTGTATCACTAAGAAGATTCATTGCCTTTGGTTTTCAATCCAAGCAGCTTTAATCATTTTGTTCATAGCAATATATTCAAAAAATATATCCACACTCATATTCAATAAAAGTTAATAAATAAATAATTATGATTTAAAAAGTCAGAGATGCAAACGATGAGCTATAAACAAAGAGAAACGTTTGATCTACTGATTTCCTTGTTTTTGTCTCTCGGTTCTACGAGCACAAACACTTACATTCACTTTTCTCTCAGTCCAGGAGCTAAACTGTATGTGGAAATTAAAGAACTTAGCTAATGCAGTATTTAATTACGCAGTTTTAGCTTAATTCTTTATTGGCAGGTGCATAGATCAGTTAGCTCCATTATCCTTATATTTTGCACTCACACAAACATATGATAAATATACCCCTACATTGGGCCCAATATCACTCAGACCTGACCTCATTCGGCCCCCAGCTAAATTGAGTTTGAGATCCGTGCTCAAGAACATAGACTGCTTCACCAAGAAACACACAAACATAAGTCTTTCTCCTTGAGGGACTCTGACAGAGCTAATGGTGTTTGCATTCTTTAGGTTGAAGTATAGAACAGAAAACACACACATTGATGGAATGGCCATCACAGTTTTTTTTTATTTAACCAGGAAAATACCCATTGAGATCGAGATCTCTTTTTCAAGGGAGTCCTGGCCAAGAGGTCTGTAGCACACGTCACAGGCACTTTACAGAGCAACAGTAAAACAATACAATAATAATACAATACAATAATACTACAAAGTACAAACAGTGAATCTACAAAACATGTACATGAATGTACAGTTTCCTTTATGGCACCTGCTGGCCTGTGTGTCACGTTTATATTGCTAGGACTTGAAGCACGTCATAACACTTTGTCAGTGTCGGAGGTGAGCGATAGAGTTGCAGAGGCCTGTGTCACAGTACACCAGCTGTACAGAGCACCAAAGCCCTGCTTGCATTGACGTCATTTGTTCCAACCATGGACTGGAATCAGCAAAAAGTGGTGTAATGTATGTTGTGTTTAAAAGCTGGGGGACCTATTCCAATAGGTAGGAAAAAGTAAAATGTTGCGCACAAATCAGACCACAACATGCTGTCTTCATCTATAAAGAAAACATGTTAGTGTTTGTGCACTTGTAAGAACGAGCTCTTTCTGTCACTAAACAATGTTTTGGGCTGATTGGTGGTGTGAGGGTGGGCTTCTCTCATTTTTCTTTCTGAAGAAGCTGATCTAAAAATGTGACAGAACCCCTTAAGTACATGCATGTGAAAACACAGTCGATGGTGAAAACCAGTGATAGAAGCAACAAG